TCCAAAAATATTCTCCGTTGATTTTCAGGTCATTCCGAAAACTTTTATTTCTGCACAAAAATAACACCATGGCAATTCTGCTGAAAACAGCGCCAGTCTGGGTTAGTTCCATTCAAATCATGCAAGTTAGAGTCCAAAATAAGGGCAAAAATGTTTGGAAAAATAGATACGATGAAGACGTATCAGTACTGCAAGCGGTACTACCGCTCTACTTCCGCTCTACTACCGCTGAGCGCGTAGAGGCAACAGAAGACAACAAATAAGCGGTAGTAGCCGCGGAACTGGATCAACGACAGTACCGCACAAGCGGTACTACCGCTGCCTTAGGGCAGGTTAACAGGAGGAACAAGAAAAGAACTCCATCGAATCGAGAAAGGAACAAGGGAGCAAATATGAAAGTGTGTACGTGTTGACTTCACCTAAACCTTTTCGAAGTGGACCCTCTCTTAATAGTACGGTGTTCCTACGACTCAAATCCACCAAAAATGAAATGCAAGAAAACAACCGTCTTCGCTTTATATCTCCGAGGGGTACGGATTGTCTTGTGCCATATGATAGATTATCTGAAATGCACAATGCATACGATTAGTCCACTAATACATTGTCATCAATCACCAAAACCGAGAGAAATATTCCCTAACAAAGACACACAATTCTTTTGTGTGTTCTTAAAAAACTATGGGATGTGATTTACTCTTAAAGGAACTACATCATCAAATCTTATGAAAAACATTCTTACACTAGGATTTCGTATGATTTATAGTAAGAGGACATATCTTTTATGTCTTGCACGTATCTTCTCTCTCTATATCGATTCCGTCAAAGCTTTTGTCCCATAGAACCATGTCTACAATTCTTGTACTCTCTCCCTTTGGGTTTATAAGTCACGCATGGATTTCTAGTTCTTCAATTTGACTAGAGAAACATGCATTATATTTACAAAAAATATATCTTTAGAGTCATCATCAAATGAAGTTTCTAACCATATAATTTTCGTGGCATATTGTGCATGTCCTTTTTAGTTGGCATACTATGCATGTTTAAATAGTTAAATCGAAGACCTGGAAACATGTGCCCAACTTATAAACCCAAACGGAGGGAGTATATTAGTTCCTATCCAGGTCACAAAATCATGACATTCTAATCTTATTTTTTTTCTGTTTTAGTATTTCGGGAATTCGGTGATTCAAAAAGTTCATAAACAATCTGGCGGCCTCCCAAAAAAGATGTGCTAAACATTGAAGGAGACGAAACGGAACAAACTCACAGGCCTCAGGAGTCGATGGAAGGAGATCCACGTGAGTTCAGCGGTCTTCAAGAGAAGTGCTAATTATTAGCGGTGAAGACAACTGATATTTAGCACGCGATTAGGCATTTTTCTAAAAGTAGTAAAAAGATCAAAAAAAAATATGAATCTTTTTCAGAGTAAGCATTGTCTAGTGTATTACTCGTTCAAAGTGCCAGGAAAGTCAGTTTGTCGTGAAACTTTACATGTTAGTAATATAGTACTCCCTCAGTAAACTACTTTAGTAATCTAAATGTTATTATATTTCTACTTTAGTGATCTAAACACTTTTATATTTCTTTACGGAGGGAGTACAGACAATGCTTGTTCCGAAAAAGTTTTAAAAATATTTTACCAGTTTTACATTCTTTTTGCAATTCCGGTACATGTGCACCCATGTCTGAAGGTGTACTTTTTATTTATAGAATGTACTCCCTCCATTTTTAAATATAAGTCTTTTGAGAGATTTCAATATGGATTACATACGGAGCAAAATGAGTTAATGTACACTTTAAAATATATTTGTATATATCCTTATGTAGTCCCTATTGAAATCTCTAAAAAGACTTATATTTAGAATCAGAGGGAGTACATGTTATGCTATTTTCAGGTGTTTTGCATGCATTTTGGATGGAGTGTACATAAGCCGTTTGCAACTTGTAGATTTTGAGGTGCAGCCACAGCCCACGTGAGACATCTAATCCAGCGACCACGTCACATGCATGAGGCATTCCTAATGTTTTCCCTTCCCTATGCGCTCTGTTTTGCGGACGAGACACTGTCTGTTCATGATGACGAGATGATGTTTTGCCCATGACGCAATCGAGTTGGTGATACATTTTTCTATGGGCCTTGTATGCGTTGTTCTCATCGATGTTTATGTTCTTAGTGTCCAAGTCAAGTGATCAAAAGGCAGGCAGCAGTAGGCTACACCAAATGGAAGCATATGTGTGTAGCGAACTAGCGATGATGCGGACCATTTGGGTTCCATGAATGAGTCATCCTGCACTCACTCGTGATACAGAGGACCATTTCTTTCGTGTGGGTTTTTCATGCTTTTATTTTTGTCGCCGGTTCGTTGTATTTTTTATTGGCAATCAATATGTTTTAAATTTCCGTGGAATTAATATAGTCCTCCGCGAGCGTCAATGACATTATTATTGGAATAGAACCCTAACCACTAACATATCTACTAATGACAATGACAGTTCGTTAAAGGAGCTCTGTCCTGTGTACAAAGCTAAAGGAAGCATATCACAGGTCCTCTGCTTTGCCGCTGACTTAATAACATGAAAAATGCAACAAGCACCACTAGTGCCGACTAGTATAATCATTACTATCTTTTCCCCCATGAACTTGAGCACATGGATTTTTATCAAATGTAACAGTGGCTCGTTTATCAAATGCAACAGTACAGGCACGTTTGGGACGCCAGAGCTTCAAATGAAAATTTATCATGGCCGTGTACACCATGATGATGCGGAGGCCAGAGATTTGACCTCTTTTCTTGTTTCAAAAAGATGAATTTCTGTCTGTGTTTGAAAAAGAAATTTGTTCAAGTTCCGTGAGAAGAGGAGTACAAATTCGTTTGTGTGCCCACGCTGCAAGTGGAGTAGTATATTGGTCCTGGTCTCCTGAACCTGCAGCTAGCACATGGCAGCGCGGTAACTGCGCTCATCAATGTGCATCCGCAATCGGTGCAAATCTAGCTATAGGTTCAAATGGAAGTCAATCTTGGTTGCCTTCAATCAGATAATCAAATCCTTTCCGTAGCAAGAGAAAATTGGTCAATTTCTGCACGCGTAGATATTTATATCCCTATATATGGAGATCGATCTCATCCCTATGAAATTTATGATGACGTAAGGGTACAATTACAGTTAGCAATTTGTCTCATCTGGTACACTACGTACTACTACTAGTATGTGTGACAACTTTAATTGTCACGCGCCCAGCACACTTGAATTCGTCTCTGGATCCTCACCTAATAACACAAAAGTAGCTAGCGTGGTCTCTTCCATCCCATGATCGATCCCATCATCCGGATGAGTACCATGGCCGCAGTTTATTCTTTAACAGTTTGTAGCTATGGCGATCTGAGATTAGACTCTTTGTGACAAAATCAGCCCATCAGAATTCAAGCTCAAGACTTGACACCGGTGCTCGTATTTTTTATATTTATTTCAGATTTTTCGGCGATAATCGTTTAGTGGGAAGAGACGTTTCCGTCGACTACGAGGACAACTGTGATGACTTCATCAATCTCAAGATGTTCGGCTCGGTATCTCGAAGGTGCTCATAGAGGTATGGTGTGCGTGCATGCATTCCTAGGGATGAATGAATGTGTGTATGTGAGCATCTGTGTTTGTACTAAGTAAAATAAATTTGTAGCTATGTGGGTGTGCTGCCTGGTCAAGCATAACAAGGGTAGAATACCAGCAGTTTGAAATGCGGGAATTTCAACTGAATTTTATACTAGATACCCTCATTCCATAATGTAGCAGACTTTTTCAAAAGTCAAATATTGTAGAATTTGATCAAATATATAGAGAAATTGCAAAGAAAAAATATCTAATAAATATAACATAAAAATGTATCTAATGACTTATCTAATGATATTTATCTGATATTTTAAATATAGATGTCCTTCTTATAGAAGTCAAAGGCTGTGAAGTTTGACTTTTTTTATGCATTACATTATGAAAAGGGGAGAGTAACTCAACACGACAATCATAACAAAGTTCACTGTGAATGTATGCATTTTTTTTGGCGGGGATACTGTATGCATCAAATTTTTTATGGGAATTGTATGCATTGATTGATGCAAATAGACCGTGGAAACCATCATAAACTGTACATGGCCACCATTCCTTTTTGTGCATATCTTATATTGAGAAGAAATTTAAAGACCTTTTCCCTGCACAATAAGAAAAGAATGTTTTCGTGAGGGATGAAATGAGACGGAAGTTGAAGGGACTTTTGTTGGAAAGAGAAAATCTTTCCTATTAAAAAGAATCTGGCATTACATCGTTCAGTTTGTCATTCTTTCAATCTTAGATATGTTCTCGTCTCCCTCTTTCCGTTTTGATTATTTCCTTTCATCTATGATTTTTCTAATCAGTTTTTCTTTTTCTGAAGACCGCCTCAACTGCCCCACATCTTATTGACTTACAAATAAAATTATGGTGTCTTTGGTACACTGACAAATTCTTACCAAATAAATTATTATTTATGCAATCATATTTATATGGTCAGGTAAACCACTAGCTAAATATTTATACCCGGCAGAGTCAATTATCTAGTAAAATAAAGGCACCGGAGGTAACCTTACAGAGGGCCCAAGCACATGACAAAGACACGAACCTTGATCCATCATCTCCATGTATCAGTCTCAGTATACACCCACTCTTCATCAGAGTAATTTCCCTATTCACACCAATCCATTTCACCAATCCTACAAGCATGAAAACCGAACTGTACTGTAGTACTGTATACACTTTGCCTATACATGAACAGATAAACACTAGCCAACTTCACCAACACAAGAATAGAATGTCAGCCCGTATACTCTTTATCTCACACGAAAGCAGAAACCTGCTAATAATTATTACAACTGCAAACAGATGTGGACAAGAGAATGGACAAAATTTTATGCACACTACTCACAACCAAACCCACTGCAAGCCCCGACAAGCAGAGTAGAAGCCGGCACACATCAATCTTTGTCAGGCACCAACTCATTTGGCTTCAAGGCGTTCCTCGGAGAATTAGCAGCATTATCTACAGAAATGATGGATACTGGGGATGATGACTCGCCTGGGCTGAGGATCGGAGAATCTGGCCTGGAGGGGACGGGCGATACTTCTTCCTGGGCTAAATAAGCTTCAACCACCGGAAACATGTTTTCAGTGTATGCGCGATTGGTATCTTCTTCTAGCTTGCTGTCTTTCATATTGCCATCGCCAAAGGAGACGATATTGTGGGCGGCGAACTGGTGAAAATCTACTATTTCACGCAGGAAGCGATTTTCACGGGCATACATGGAGTTCTCCTGTGCCAGCCTTGATTTCTCGGCCAGTAATGTCTCCAGTTGCATGCGGATCTGTTTCAAGAGGATCTATTTCAGTACAACTTTGAGAGGGCTAGCTATACTGATCAATAGAAGTTCCAATCACCCATTGGTTATCTTTTATTATTTTTTGAAGCCATTGGTTATCTTTTAAACTAAGACTATAGCCAACTTTCATCTGAACCGCAACAAAATGTACTGGGTTCATAGAATTGCTGGAAGAAAGCAAATAGTAACAGAAAGCATATTAGTACTACTGATTACTGAGCAATGTATGGTACAAAACTATATAGCAGTTCCACCCATCTTGGATGTTTACACGTGCAGTGAGTGGATAAAATTAAGAACTGTGCAGTGGATGAGGATTATTAACTTTGGTGCAAACAATATAACTCCAAATTTCTACTAGGCTAAGAAAAAAAATTACCAGGTCATCATCCTCTTCAATTTTGACCCCTTTCTGCTTAGTTCCACGCAACATTTTGTTCTCTTCTTCTAGCTGAGTGCAGCGCTGCTTCGCAAAGGCTAGGTCCGCTTTAACAGTTTTTAGTTCACGAAGTACAAGTTTTGCTTTAGCAGCCATCGCATTAGCAACCTGAAACAGTTTGTAGGGGGTAAGAGGAAGCACCATTGGACGGACATAAATAGTAAATAACAATGTTCATTTATTACTGCTGTCTAAATGGATGGTGAAAGTACACAGGGCTTATTTTGAACCATATTGATGGCCAAAACAAATAACACAGTAAAAGGAAACTTGAACAAATATCTTTCAAAATAAATAAATAAACAAATATCTTTCAGCATAGATCATAGATGTCCATATGTTTCATCTAGTGCTACAGAGAATTAATATTGCAATGCTGCCTTTGTCTTAAACTAAATGAACTAGAAAATCTAATCCTAAAAGTTGAGGGCCACTTTGGATCGTAATAATTTCATAGAATTTTGTATGATTCCAATCCTTCAGGAACTACAGAGGCCATTTGGGTCATAAGGATGACGCTATCGAATTCATATGGATTGCTTTCGTAACTAATTCTATAGGAATTTCAACATCCACTTCAACCACTTTTCCCCACTCATTTGCATAGGACTGGGTATTTTTTTCTGCATTTCCTTATGTTTTGTGGTTTATAGTTCCTGTATGTTTCATATTCCTAGGTTTTTCATTCCTAAGATCTAAAGAGGCCCTGAACTGGGAATATAAGCATGTGTAAGCAAGCTTTTGTCAAGTAAAAGGTTTAGTAGCTTTCCCATAAAGGGTTTGGTAAAGCATATTCCTAATTGATCTATAATCGTATGGCACCTTACGTCGCGAGAAGCTTTTAACTGGGTCTCCTGGGCTGCCTCAGCTTTATTCAGTGTGAAACTCGGAGGGGGGAATGCATCTGCAGCAGGATTCTGCATATGCAAACTGGAACTGTTAGGCTTTCTTCTAATTTGTATCTTCTTTGTTTCCTCGATGATGTTTGATGTCTTATTATCGACAATAATGAGACCTTCCTGTAAAACATAGAGATGAAAACAAGTCAGTGCACAAACCAAACAGGATGCTGAACTTCCAAAAGAGATACTGTAAAATACCCAGAGACAACACAAAAAGGGCCCGAAATGAAGCTACAATTACGAGTTGTGTCGGTGGTATCGTAAAATAAATAAAGCCGTGTGATGCTAAAGAGCTTTACTTCCAAGGCGTTTCTGATTCTTCCACCAAACTGGTTGACAGAAGTGGCAAGTGCCTCTGACCTCTTCCACGGTTCGCTCCTTTCTGTTCCTCCATAGCTGTCGAATGACCAACGAGATTGAGGGGCCTGAAATAAGAAAATGGAACGAAGAATGTAAATCACCTAAAGGCTAAGGAACCAGCCATGGACAATAAGTTTACTGATTGTATTTCATCGTGTTTCACCAATGTATGTGGATCCAGCTTTTCCTATATTTGCTGTCTCACCTGAGCTCCATCCGATAAGTTGGGCTTGCGAGTAGCACTTTGAACTTTCCCATGGTCATCGAACTTGTGAGCAGCAGCATCCTCATCGAGAATCCCCTTGGCCTTTCTTGCCAATGCTCCCCACAATCCAACCTTAGGCTCACGCATGCTATCCATCGACGTGTAGTTGTACGAAGAAGCAGCCAAACTCTGCTCATTCACCGCAGACCAAATCAACACAGCAACCCATATAAGTAGAACAACATTTTTGAGTACATGAAGAATATCTGTCAATCCTAAGCAAGGAATAAAAATGAGCGTGCTATGGGAAAATAGCACATCCCTTAAAATCCGCTATAGCAAACGATTTTACACTGATTTTATTTAGCGAGACATTGCTCAGAACGCTATAGCGTGCCATTTATATCAGTGATCCTAAGTGATACAGACATGCTAAATTTCACCTCGAACTGAACAATAGAAACGGACATCAGAGGAACACTACAGCTTGCTGATTATCTCAGTGATGGGTTTGGAATCAGACAGTGATTATCCAGTAGCTGGCATATTCAGGACCAAATTGACCTGCTAGTTCAAGCTGACCCCGATAGGTAAGCAAGAGGGAAAACCTGCATCAATTCGTGACTATCGCACATCGTCTCAACAAATTTCGTGTCGGACGAAACGGAGGGCACATCTGTAGTAGCGAACTGGACGAGATGTGATACCGATATAATATTCGACCGACGGATCGAGACAGGCGCAAGCGCAAGCAAATCAGCAGTGATTACTAATAACCAGAGGGATTGGATGGCAGAGAAGACGGGTGGGGGAGGAGAGGGGGAGAGGGTGCTTGCCTGGGGCTGGGGAGTCCGGCGGTCGTCGGAGGCGACGGGCCCCTGCTGCTTCCGGCGGTAGGCCATGATGAGCTGGGTGGGTGGAGGTGGGAGGGACGCGGAGCGGAAGAAGCGAACAGCTGCTATAGCTTTTTGGTGATCCCTTGCTTGCTTTGATTAGAGAGAGACACCAAGCTGGACCAACCTGTCAAAATTCAACAGATGGGCCCACATGTGCTCTCTGGCACAAACGCCCTTTGTCACCTTTGCTGAGAAGTGTTTTATGTTTTTTATTTTTGCAATTCAGAGAGTTTTATCCAAACAAAAGCATTCTTCGGATAATCAACCAGGAGGTTGGTCACTAGGACTCTAGAAGTTCCATCGAGACAGATTTTGGTCACATTTAAAGTGCAAGCACGCTTTGAACAGAGATGAGCCAGAATGTTTGCTACGTGTTTACATGTTGAATATCAAGTAAAGAGAAATGACAAGCTAACTCTCCAATTTCAACTAAGATAGGAGCCACAATTGAACGAGAATTATGACGAGTGTTCCAAAGTGTAACCATCTACAAACAATCAACCTCTATGCTTAAATTCTCGCAGCTTGGCAAACCCGACACTGTCCGAGAATAGGCTAAAGCAATCAACGGGTCAAAGATGCCCATGTATGGCTTGCACCCAACACCAAGAAGAGCAAAGGATAAACGTGCAACCCCGTCATCGTCACCATGATTGTGCGCATAACTCACCGCCCATAAGTAGTGATATTGATGACGTCGTGCCCCAAAGGTCGCTAGACGTAACCAGGCAAAACAGGAGGGGGCTTCCTAGGTAATTCTAGAAGCGCAATCGCCTACCTGGTCCGCCGCATGGGGTTTGCAGGATAAGCCCGTCTCCTTCATGTTTTGACCGATTGTGTGACTGCCAGATAGTCCACATGATGGTGAGGATATTCACGCAGCTTGACTAAAAAAACTAGAGTCACATAAAATGTCCCTCACCCATGAATGAGGGTGGAAACGAGGAAGACGAATACCAAACCACGCATGAGCTTCTTCCCAGAAGCGCCGAGCATGTGAGCAATGAATCAAAGCATGCTTTAAATCTTCTCCAGCTATAAAGATTTTGCATCAGTCGATCTCAGCAATATGACGTCTGCTCGTCTGGCAGAATTCCACGAAGAACTCTTTATTGGAAGATTTGCACTTTTGGGACGACATTCATTTTTGAGAGGGCAATCCACATCTCTTGATTATTCCCTAAGGTCTCGGTAACCATTTCTTCTTGAAGAGCAACACACTCTTTTTGAATCACAAGGGCACGGTACGCCAACTTTATAGTGTAGATGCCTGATCATTCAAATGCCTAGCCTCACCACCGCTTAGCCAGATAGGAATATTGAGGATGGCTTCGGCATTAGGTGCAATGCAAGTATCACAAACACCGTCACATCCAATTATCTGGATCAATTAGATTCGAGACCTTATCAACAGTGGAGTTCGCCGGTTTGAGCAGCAGTGTCATAGAGATAGTTATGGAAATCCACTTGTTCGTCCACACCGAGACTAAACTCCCATCACCAATTCTCTTAACTAGATGACCCTTTGCGTCCTTGGCGCGGCCAAGAAGCCAAGAAACTTATGAACAATATATATATATATATATATATATATATATATATATATTATGAATGGTCTGCAAAGGGGAAAAAACAAATGGGACAGAGAATGTAGATGAACTATTTGAAGGATGTTTTTCGTGAATTATCCGCAAGTGATTATGCTTGTATTGTGTTTGTCGGCGTTCTGGGACCGGGGTTGCCCAGACTTGCCTGCCCGCGGGCTTGTGCGTGGCTCCACCAACGGCCTGGTACGACCCATCTTCAGCAGCAACCACTCAAGACCCTCATGAGGGGCCAAGCTTCGCAAGGCGGATGACGCCAAGACCTCCCTGGGGGCAGCCTCACTAGGCTGGCTCCCGAGGAGCGGAGATCTCTATGCAAGGGGCACCTCGCGAGGTTCACGTGACGTGAGCCGTGACGACCAAGGCCAGGTGGGCGCCAGCGGGCACAGTGTGCCAATTTCCTCTTTCATGCTAAAGAGGCAGGCGCAGGCGAGGAGTGCCGAGGGATCAGGCAAAGGTTTCCATATCGGTGCAACGAGACCAAGACCAGCAGGACGGAAGGACGGAGGTCACCATGGAGCCCACATCAGCGTCACTACCAGAGTCTTTGGCAGGCGAAGACCACCTTTTGTCAGGATAGCTTGTACTAGTTGCCCCCTTCGAATTTCGAATTTGGCCATTGTGGGATCTCTTCCCGCCTCATATTTGGCAAGAGGACCAAGGCCACTATAAATAGGACTAGCCACCACCATAGGTAGAGGAGACTCATCTTGGATCGAATCCATTCCATCCCCACATCCACAGCTCGCCTAGCTCAAGAACACCTCTTCTCCTGAGGCTGTTCGTCCATTGTATTAGTTCATCCTTAGCCCGTGAGGCAATTCACCAACACCACACTGGAGTAGGGTATTACACCGCAAGGTGGTCCGAACCAGTATAAACCCTTGTGTCTCTTGTTCTTTGGGTTCGTCGAGCTAGGCCGCAAGATCGTTGAGCGAGCGAACTAGGGAGAGAATGTTCTTCGTGCGCACCCCAGAGTTCGAACCTCAAGAGTTAGCCGGAATCCGCAATCCGACATTTGGCGCGCCAGGTAGGGGTGCACCGGAGCCCCGCCACTCCGCTCGTCCACC